CCTCCAATCATCGAGATGGTGGATTCCTCCAATTTTAAGAAGATGGGACAGGGGCCTCGTGATGTGATGTGTCTTGGATGGCAAGCTCAGCTTGACGGATAGTGGGCCGTAGCGTGCGGGGGAGTGCCTTACTTGGCGATGAGATGAGTTGTGTGGCTAAGGGCTCATTCGACGGACAGTGTGCTACCGTAGGGTGCGAGGAGTACTTTAGCCCAGTGATGTGATGTGATAATTGGTTATGTTGATATCACACATATGTGTTTTGATATTATACTGCTCACTGTATATGTATGTGAATGTAAGGTTTTGTACTTATGGCGTGATACATATCCTAGCATGCATAGATTATGTATTATTTGTACTCACTGAATTTCGTGACTCATAGTTTTTAAACATTTCTAGATTTGTTTTACTGTACTCACCTCGTTTAGCGTGCCAGAGTGGGAGTCGGCGACATCGAATTTTGATGGATGTACGGGCACTTCTCTTTTGTATCTTTTCCCTATTATATTCTAGAATAACTTTTTTGTACTCTTAAACAGAATCTTGTTGTTATTGTTATATCGTTATGATTGGTGTATTGTGCTTTTGGTTTCGATCTGTGTGTTGAAGTTTACTAGGGTTAGTGGACCATAATACCAGTCACGGGCTGGGTTCGGGGTGTGACATTGTCCCATTAGAGGAGGCTCCAAAATGATTTTTTGGAAGGTAGCCCTTTAGCAACTTCGGTTTCTTCATTGTAGGTTTCAAATTTTACTACCTAGTTATGGAAGAAGACTAGAAAGGTAGACTTGTCTGAGAGTTGACTTATAAAAAAAAATATGAAAAATAGACTTGTTTGAGAATTGAGTTTTCAAAAATAACAAAGAGTTTCAGTAAGAATGCTAGAATTCACAATTTTTCGAGTTAATTTCATTTAAGTTATTTTAGAAAAATATGTCTTGAATGCTTAAACAAGTATGATTTCTAGTTTAATGGAAATTCTGATCGGATTAAATCAAACCCATTTACACTCAAAATTAGGTAAAATTTTATATAAAATAAAACTCAGTCTTTTCAGATTCAATAATTGATAAATTTATATATGTCCCTAGTTGAGTTATTTTTGGTCAAATCAGATAACTTTAGGTGATCTTTATTTTCTTATGTATACTTTCATATTGTGACAATAAATAAAATAATCAATTGGTTCCTAAAAGCGGACTCATCTAAGATCAACTTTCTAAACCTCTCGAGGAACATCCTCTGTTGAAACTTGCGTGCTTCCAGTGTTGGTAGCCAATTTAGCAAGTTCATGTGCTATAGAATTTCCCATTGGCACCACCTCTTTTAAGAAAATAATAGCAAGCCCTTAGCTTCAATAACATGGCCAATCTTAAAAATATTGGCTTTTTGTTCTTTTATTCGCTGAAATTTTTCTCAAAAATTTTCTCATTCCAAATGAAAACAGAATCATGTCTCTGTGAACAAGTAAGGTTGTAGAAGGGGTGGCAAGATATATTCGATGTTAGGAATTGATGCAGTGGTTATCTTTTAATTGCCTGATATGTGTATTTTATTTTATATTTATTCATTCAATTAAATATTGACACGTGGATTTTATTTATTTATTTATTTATTTATTTTTGCCCTTTTCCCCTCAATTTATGCAACCATGCTTAACTTAAAATCTCAAAAAAAATTTCCAGCGCCAAATCAAAATTTTAAATTCTAAATTTTTCAACAATCAGCCCACACAAAAAATCCGCATGTATTGTTTTGGAGTAGATATTGCTCGCAAGGAGTAAATGCAGAGCTTACAAAATATCGACAAGAATGTTGCCAGTGGGGAGAAAAGCGACGAAATCACTGAGAGGGCGTCCAGCTGTGCAAGGAGTTTCACATGGAGCCTGGGGAGTATATCGGTCACCGCATCCCGTGAAAGCCTTGCGGTAGTACTCGGGATGATGTCGTTCATCTCTTCTCCCAGATTGTTTTGCCCCTAAAACCAGTAGATGAAGCCGGCGAAGAACATGAATCTATATACATAAAGAAATACTAGACCGACGACTAAATGAGTTACCAAACACCTACAGATATAGTAATGTAATTAACTGGAACACTGGAATTCATTCGGAATGGGACTCTGCTTCTAATTAAAGACCAAAAATACACATATAATCCAAAATCATATCCATCACGACAGAACCCTAGAGCTTTGAGTATATCCTCAATAGGCAGTCGGGCTTCTCTCCACTTCTCTTGTGCTTTTGAATAAGTCAAATAAAATGGAAAATGAAAAATTTTAATAAAATTTTAGATTTATCTCTCGTTGTTGGGAAGCTAAACAAAGAAAAGGAAGAAATTTAGGGAGTCTTGCGTGTGGTTAGACTTGTTATTTAAATTCAAACTAAATAATATTTTAAAATTTGTAATTTTTAGTAATTAAATTGGACTACAGTTTATAATTTGATTTAATTTTATATCATAGTTTATAATTTATAAAATAAAATAAAATAAATTTATTATTTTTATAAAAATTTTGACCAAATTTTCTTAAAAATTAGTTATTAATTTTTTTTTCAATATGTATAACTTAATAAATTTATTATTTATTAATTAACTATACTAATTATACATTATATAATAAATATACTTATACTATTTTACATAATTTTACTATTATTAATAGAAATCACATTTTAAAAAAGAAAAATAATTAATTATTAGAATGAATATAAATATAAAAGATAATAAAAAGAAAAAATATACAGTCAAATAATAAAAATATACTATATATATAGAGATAGAATTTTTAATTTTATATATATATAAATTATATGACTTGATTCGATTTATACAGTTTATTTAAATATTAAATATCAAATTAAATCAAACTACACAACTTAGTTCGGTTTAATAATGTAATTAATCGGGACACTGGAATTCATTAGGAATGGGACTCTACTAATTAAAAACCAAAATATGCGTATAATCAAAATCACATCTATTGCGACAGAATTCTAGAGCTTTCAGTGTATGCTCAATAGTCAGTCAGGTTTCCCTTCTTTTCACTTCTCTTGTGCTTTTGGATAAGTCAAATAAAATGGAAAAAGAATAAAAACTAAATAAAATTTTAGATTTATCTCTCTTGTTGGGAAGCTAAACAAAAAAAAAGGGTAGAAATTTAGGGGAGTGCTACGTCTATGGTGGAGAATGTCATAATTTGCAGCGTCCTGTTGGTCAATTGTTTTCCAAAAAAGCTTGACCTATTCATTTAAATGTACCCAATATTTTAATATATAAATTTATTGTAGGATAAAAAAATATTCTCTCCTTTTTTAAATTTACTTAAATGACACTTAATTTTATTTTATTATAAAAAAATATTTTGTTAATTAATTATTGTTTATTATTTTGTTAAAAAAAATTGAAAGTAACTCAATTTTGTATATTTTAATTATCGATTTGATTAAAATTTAAAATATTATTTGATTTACTTAAAAATTTAAAATTTAAAATTAAAATTTAAAAATAAAAAATCTAACTTTTAGTGACATAATTTTATTATTTTTAATTATTAAAAAAAATTTATTTTACTATGTTTTTATTTTTATTTTAAATATTAAAATAAGAATAATTGATTGTTATTTAAGTTGAAAAAAGGCTAGGTGCCATTTAAATTTTAAAAAATTAAATAAGATTAAAATAATATAAAATAAAATATTTAAAATAATAAAATTATTTTAATCTTATTTAATTTTTTAAAATTTAAATGGCACCTAGCCTTTTTTCAACTTAAATAACAATCAATTATTCTTATTTTAATATTTAAAATAAAAATAAAAACATAGTAAAATAAATTTTTTTTAATAATTAAAAATAATAAAATTATGTCACTAAAAGTTAGATTTTTTATTTTAATTTTAATTTTAAATTTTAAATTTTTAAATAAAATAAATAATTTTTAATTTTTAATCAAATAATAAATTAAGCAAATGAAATAGAGTTATGTTTATATTTTTTAACAAAATATTTAAATAATTATTAGTTAACAATTAGTTAAAAAGAGAAAGTGTTTTTTCATGATAAGGATGGAGTTAAGTGTTGTTTAAATAAACTAAAGAGAAATGAGTATTTTTTTATCTTTATTGTAATAAATTATATTAACAGTTATAGAAATATTCTAAATATTAAGATTAATTATCTTAAATATTATTTTTTTGCAACCTTTTCAAGAGAATGCTGCAAAAAATCAAATCCTTGTAACTAGTGAAGGAAAAAATTCTACTTCCCAGAAACAAAAATATTTTCTAAAAGATAGAAATATAAAAAATTTCATGCAATGAAAAAGTCAAGAAAGAAAAAGTTATTATGTTAGAGACTACCATGTTGTTGATTAATCTCGCATAAGCTACACCTATTATTTAAGAAATATTCTAAATATTAAAATTATATTTTCTTAAATACTTTTTTTCTTTCTTTTCAAAAGATGCTGCAAAAAATAAATCCTTGTAGCTATTGAAGAAAAAATTCTACTTCCCAGAAACAAAAATATTTCAAAAATATTTTCAAAAAATGCCCATGTCTGCTAGAACCAAAAAATAAATAAAAACTAAAATAACAGGGGGAGGGGGAAAAAGGGGGAAAGACTAAGTATATTGCCCGATCCTCCTGCTCTTTCTTCTCCGCCTGTAAAAGCAAAAACGGTTAATTTTTCTCCGAGAAGAAACTGGCCAATTCCCAATTTGAATATCAGACTGCTCTTTGCGGAATTTGTTTTCCTCGCTCCTCCGTATGTGAACTGTAGTTCGTAATATACCTGCGCTCGTTATCGTCAATTAGGTAGGTGCAGCGCAGCCCCAATTTGCGTGGTAGAAGTAGAGCGACATGGGCTGTGCTGACTTGATGGCGATTCATCAGTTCCCGTTCCTGGGTCGGGCTGAATTGCCGGCAAACTTCTGTGGGAACAAAACCTTTTCCCTCTGTTCGAGACTCAGGGGGTTTGCAGGCGATTAGACATGGCTTCCAAAAGGGTCAATCTGGGTTTTCCGTCTATGGCTGCTTCTGCCTCTTCTTCTGCTTCCGTCAGCGGTTCTGGCGCTGAGTATTCCGTAAATTCACATCCTTAGCTATATGTTATGCGGCTTTAATCGGGAGTTCAGAACTGCTTAAGCTAAAAAGAAAAATGCAAAATTATGACTTCCTGCTTTTTTAGGTTTTTTTTTTTTTTTTTTTTTTGGTTCTAAGAAAAACAAGTTAGCAGACACCCTTAAAGACGTATATATATTGCGAAGGAATCGTGTTTGTGCGGTTAGTTATGGTGTTGAATGTTTGTTTCTTTTTATGTTCCAGTATTCAAGTGGATGATTTCATTCTGATGCTCGCTATATTATCCGCTGATGACCGTTTCTGCAAGAATACGAGAAATTTAGGTCCCACATATTTTGACTTAGCAGTGATTCATGGTATATATATGTCAGGTTCCCTGCCTTTCTGATAATGGGCTGCAAGGGTTCCACCTTAAAGTCACAAAATAGTTTGTTGCCTTCATTTAGTGCTTGTTTGATAACACAATTCAGCACCTAAAAGGACATTTGGCATTTCAAACTAGCTGAAAAGTTGAAATAAGTTCTAAGGATTTAACATTTAAACCATTTAAATAGTAAGTCAATGCTTAAAATTTTCAGCACTTCACCTACAGTTTTATCAAACAGGGTCTTAGTTATATATAAAGATAAGATTTTTGGGATGCTTTATAATTTGATTCATATTTTCAGAGCAGTTGTTGGGAGCAAAACCAAAGCCAAAAAGGAAGAAGATAGCTGGAATAGATCAGGATGAATTGCTGGATCCAGCGCTTCTGGCTGATCCAGATAGTTGCTTTTGTCATTTCAATGGAGTGCATATACACCATAAAGTATGTGAGGCAGAATCACCAACACATATTTTATGGGACCAGACTGCTTCTCAAGTTCCATCCCAAACTAAAAAAATTAGTCTTCCTATAGTTTTGTTGCATGGTTTTGGAGCTTCTGTCTTCTCATGGCATCGAGTTATGAAGCCTTTGGCACAAGTCTCTGGGTCAAAAGTTCTTGCCTTTGATAGACCTGCCTTTGGATTGACATCGAGGCCGAATCTTAGTGAACATTCATCTCCTAGTAATGAAGATAGAAAACTTTAAATCCATATTCTATGGCATTCTCTGTGCTGGCTACCTTGTACTTCATAGATTCCTTAGCAGCTGAGAAGGCAGTTCTGGTGGGGTATGTACAGTCCTTTCAATCCTCTATTTTTAGATCTTTGATGCTTCCTTTCCATTTTAGAGAAACCTGTATATGGTAAAGCGCAATTTGCTTTCAATCTGAAAATAGGTTTTGTAAGGTAATTTCATATTGTGCACATTGAAATGACTTTCAGACATTGTTTTTGTTTCCTGAAAAAAATGTGTTACATAGTAATCTCAAGTCATTTGCATGGAAATGAGTTTTAGACATTGTCTGTGTAGATTATGATTGGTCTAAATCCTGATCATATTACATAACCAATTGGACATGTTACTGGGAAGTTTGTCTCATGTCACAGTGGTACCATTCACTTAGTGGATTTGTAGTGATTATTATGTTCTGTGACTTTCATCTGTACTTTTTCAATATGTAGGTTAGCCTGTGTTGAAATTTATCTAATAAATAAATTAACTTGTAACTTGAAGGATTTGTCCTTTTTATTTATAATTTAATTGTATAAAGCTATTTTATCCTATTAGAAACAGTAAAAGATAAACTATTTATTTAAGCCATGCCTCTGTTCTAAGAGGTGACAAAGTTGTATCTCTAGTGCACTACAAAACACTGTTATGAATTGAACCCTCTTGTAGAATCCCTTAAGTTGTGTTTGGTAAAGTTTATGCTTACACACACACGTGCGCACGCACACACACCCACGTGCGCGCACATGACCTTCAACAGAAAATCAAAGAACTTGTTTGGGATAGGAGAATGAAGAGACAATGCTTTTTTCCTAAACAAACATGAATAAAAAATTTATATTTTGAAAGATCTTTATACATTTTGGCAGCAAAGGATGTAAATGGTTTACAAGGTAAACATGAGCAGAAACTCTTGAAAACATAAACAGAAAAATATGAAAAATTACCAAACAGACCCTTAATTTTATGTCCTTTCAATTCTCAATAATCTCAACACTTGGTAAACAATTGTAATGACCCGAGACTACTAGCCCTATCAACTTGTTGAGCTTGAACCACTGGCCCAAAATGTTTAAACTCAAATTGTTCAATAGTAGTCTCTAGTCTCTTATAAGCCTAGGATCTCTCCTGTGTTTTGTCGATGTGAGATTCGCCTAAAGGTGTCACACACACACTCCCCCTTTGGGATGTCACATACACCTCCCTTTTTGGAACTCAGCGAGGACTTTCCCTCTAGGGTGTTACATACACCCTCTTTTGGGACTCAGCATCCTCGTTGAGGTTTGCCCCACTACCGTTCAAAATTGCACGCGGAGTGGTTCTGATACCATTAGTAACAACTCAAAGCTACTGGCCCTAGCAACTTGTTGAGCTTAAACCACTGGTCCAAAATGCTTAAATACAAATTGTCCAGTAGTAGTTTCTAGTCTCTTATAAGCTTAAGATCTCTCCTGTGTTTTGTCGATGTGGGATTCGTCTAAAGGTGTCACACACATACTCCCCCTTGGGATATCATATACACCCCTATTTGGGACTCAGCGAGGACTCTCCCTCTGGGGTGTCACAACTATTTTGGATGAAAAATTCTCTCATCGTCTCTTTCTATTCTGTAAGCCGGAATATGTCTGAACCTCACATTGATACTGAGATGCCAGGCATTCAGCTGGTTCCATTGTGGCAGTGAATACATATTTTGAAGCACCCAGCGTGTTGCTGCTCTTGTGCTGGTTGCCCCTGCAATTCTAGCCCCAGCTAAAAGTAACATTGGAGGAAAACAATTTCAAACTGATGTTCAAATGCAGGAAGAAAGCACTAGTCCAAATACAAATGGCAATCTATTTACCAGGATCTCCAACATCTTGTCAAATTTCTCCAAATACATTGTTCAGGCTGTAATGCGTTTGATGAAAGGGATGGGAGAAATGCTTAGCTCTCTCTATAAGAAAGCTTTGTCTGCATTTCTACGCTCAGCCTTTGCTGTGACATTGGTAAGGAATGTCTCTCTATTAGATTCCATGGCTTATAAAGTTTTAATTATTTTGACAAATTGCCAAGTATTAAATGAATTATCAGAAGATTTGTGTGCCAATACCCAACGAAAATCTCAGATAATATCAAAGTTCTATTTATTAGCCAAGCTTCACTAGTTCCTTGAATAGAATCCAAACTTCTAAAAATCTTTAACGATGCCTGGATGTCTAAACCAGTAATACTTATAGTTGCAGAGTTGTTGGCAATGGAAGTTTTTTTTATTTCCCCCTCATGTCTTTTCTTTTCTTTTCTTTTTCAAATGCTCTTCATGCAACATTCACAAACTTGACTATGATTTTGCAGCTTATCCTCATTACAATCCAACAGTGACTTGCCTACATATTTTACAGATAAGGATGGTGATAGATAAATTTGGTATAGCTGCAGTTAGGAATGCATGGTTTGATTCAAACCAAGTCACTGAGCACGTCCTCAATGGCTATACAAAGGTAATTAATCTAAAAATGCCGTCCTTGTTACTATTGCATTGGAGTTTAGGCCTATAGATGTTCTATTTTACTTTATATGTGGTCATGTTTGCCTGTGTCATTTACAGCCACTGAGGACTAAAGGTTGGGACAAGGCTCTTGCAGAATACACTGCTGAAATTCTTGCAGATATCTCCTCTGGATCAAAGCCACCCTTGGAGAAAAGACTGCATGAAATATCATGCCCAGGTGATAATTTTAATTATTTTTGCGCTTCACTCACTTTTCATTTAATACGAGGACAAGGGTGATATATGATTACACTACTTCAATTATTGAGATAATATTTTCACAAGCTTGAACTCGTAATCAAGTTTTCCCCCTCAATGTAGTAAATGCCAGCAAAGCTAACCCTTTGTCACTTTTTAACTGAAACCCAGTTCTCATTATCACGGGTGACTCTGACCGACTAGTCCCCTCTTGGAATTCAGAGAGACTTTCACGAGCTATTCCGGGATCTCGTCTGGAAGTAATTAAGAATTGTGGCCATTTGCCTCAGGAAGAGAAGCCCAAAGAATTTATATCACTGGTGCAGAAATTTCTGCTTGGGGTTTTTGGCGGCTCTCAGGAGCAGTTTGTACAAGCAGCAGCAACAACGTGAGAGGTTTTATTCTTTTGGCGGCAGTATCCACGTTTTCAACCAAGACGAACCAATTCATCAGGACCTATTGCCTTCTGAAAACTCTAACACTTGAAGGAACAAAAAGAGTGCTTGAAAAGATTAAATTACTCTTTAAGTTGGGGGAAGGAATATAGTCATATACTAAGGATTGTACTGTCGGAACATCATGTTGTTGTAGGGTGGACATTTCACTAGAAACATCGAGATGATTTGCACTATGCAATCTATAATACAATTTGTCTAGTTTAATGGCACGAAAAAAGAAATATTGCATTAAGAGAAATGTCAAGCTTGTAATCTCCTTTCTATTTTCCATTGTGCTTTTTGTTTATGTATTCCGTCTTTCTTTTTTTTGGGTGGGTTTGGGTGTTGGCAGCACGGGATAAAACCCACAGTACTGATCATTGCAGAACTAGTCATTTGCGCTCTCTGAAAACAAATTTCTAATCATAATACGCAACGTGAAATCAACCTTGGAGTGAAGTGATGGAAATCTATCAGGAAGGAGGAACGATTTCGAAGGCAGGAGTATCATCTTGTAACCCAAAGGGGACATCAAATCCTGACATGAAATCATCTCCGAAGATCACAGCACCAGCTGCTAATGCTCCATCACCTATTCCCTTTTCCACACTAGTTCCAGCGCCGTCCCAGGAGGTTGCTCCACTAGATGGCATGTTGATGTGGTCTGTTTTGGGGAAGAAAGTGGGTATAAAGCCAGCGTTAGAGGGTGGTGGTGGAGGAGGGGGAACCTGTGGCGGCAGATGACTAGGACCACCCTGTGAGGAGTAGCTTGATCCATCTATGGAGGAATTGGAAAAACCTTCAGCAATAGGCACCTGGCGAGCGTTTACAGAATTTATTGGTGGAAGATTTTCATGCTGGGGTTTTGGTGCCAGGTTGGACTGCACGGGCTTTATTAGAGATGATCCACGTTCATTGGACGAGTTAATGCTATTGCTGTGGTCCATGTGATCGAAACCTTCATGATTGCCTACAAAATAGATTTTAGAAGTTCGTAAGATTAAGAGGTCCTCCATCGCATGCTTTTTGGGTCTAAATAATTGCTAATAAAATTTGGAAGATTAGGCTTGCTAAAAGAAATCCAAGCATAAGAACCAAATTTTTTTGAGAGAGGAACTGGCGTTCTGTGCTTATGGGTTTGGGTTTGACTTTTAAACTGAGAAATCAAGAATGAGAAAAGAAAAGCCATAATCCATGATTGCATAGTCCTGAGGTTCTAAATCTAACTTTTGACTTCTGAGGTTTCTATATTTAAAATCTGAATCCAAAAACCAAAAAATTTAAAAACCTCGAATACTGAACACCCATCAACAAAGTTGAAGCAAATAATTATAAATACCTTTATAAGAAGAGAGTTCTTCCTTTTCCTCTGATATTCGGATTGACACATCAACAAAGCCCTGAGGCTTGCTGGAATTCCTTTTCCACAGTTCAAAGCTTCCTTTTCTTCAACAGGGTTGGGAAGCTCAGAATTCTTGATATACTTGTCCAAGAACTCCTTCAGGACAATGGTTGCCGTCCCTTGAAGACTTTCCTTAGGAAGATGGGTTCTCTGCAGTAAACTTCAACATGCAGTGCCAAATCTTCTATGTTTGATTCCAATTTATCAACAGAAGTGGTAAACCTGGTATTCCAAATTGGATTTGTGCTTCCAGAATCACTGATCTTGCTACAGTATTTGTTGTTAGGATTGATCCAACCAACAACAAACCACTGGAGCTTAAAAACAGATGAGGTACGCCTGAGGCCCCAAGCTGAAACTAAGCGAACTTCCAGCCAGGTTTTCCCATTTCCAGGATATCCAGAGCTGCTGAAAGGAAACAAGAATTGGGCAAGAGAAAAATAGTTTTCTGCTAGATTCTTCTTCTGATGAAAGAAGATAGATAGTTTGGCAGTTCTGCATCCTTTAGAAGGCTACCTTACTTTGATATCAAGGATAAAAAGCACCCTGGTAAAATGGGGAATATTTTGTTACCTGTTTCTTACCTGCAAAGAAAGTCAAAATTTGGCACATGCAAGAATTGCCATCTAAGTGTATTTTTAATAGTCAATGCCTCTTGACAAATGGTATAAATAGTATAACAAGACTTCAATCTTTTCCCACTTTAATTCAATAAAGGGTAGATTTCAAAAGATTATACACAATTTCAACCATGTCCTAGTTTATCATCAGATCACCCTTCCTTTATATTCTGTCCGTGAGTATGAAAATGGGATGTCAAAGTTAAAGATCAATTTCTGTTTGGCTTCTCAGTAATGTTTGCAGGTTCACATTTGGACGCTTCAGTGCAGAGGAACTCAAGGCAGGGTGACGACTTCTCTGGATCAAATTAAAGATCATGATTTAAAGGATTTCTCTCAACGGTGGAGCAAACAACAGCTTTCGCCCTGCGTGTACGACCATTTGATTCTCTTCATAGCCAGAAACAGTCCTTGTATACATCATTGTAGTAGCTCCCAAAATGTCACTTCCAAATCCACATGCTTTGAAAAATAACCTGTGAGGCGAATGGAGGAGAATTGCAATCAGCATGAATGTAGAAATTTATATTATGCATCAGAAAAATATGTAATTAAACAATCATATTCGTGTAATTAAACCTCAGAAGAAACCCTATTAGGGTCATATCACTGCAATTGTATTAACCGAACTTGGGATGTCAAGCCACTTAAGAAATAGAAAAAGATTAAAGGTAAAAAGAGTTAATATATTAATTCAAAGTAAGGTAACAAATTAACCTCTCTTCTTCTGAGCAAAGGGCAGCTATGTCATAGATTCCTCTACTAGTAAGCATTCTGCATAGATAATGGAAAAATATTAATCACCACATGAGAAGCATGTAGGCTCCCAGCTCTAAAACAACAACTGTATCCACAATTTAGCCGAGAAAAAGCACCTATCCAAGCATTGCTATCAAACAAAGGCATAAAAAGCAAGATTTGGACTTCTGAAGTGTCAGCTAGGTCACTATAAAATTTTGGAGATGAACAGGTGTTGATGACAAAACACGAGCTGCAGTTTAATTATCAACCAACCTTATAATTCTTTTAACTATCATCTGGCCAATTCCCATTCCTTGTAACGGAGGAATAACCTGACAAGAACTGAAATACAATCACCTAAATAGATGCAAATTTCCGACCTGGATATGAAAAGGCCTATAAAGGAATATAAAAATAAATAGAGAAGACAACTGAAAAACAACAGTCAGTTTCATAATAACAAACTGAACCACTAACAACAAAAGAAAAATGCTAGCTTCTCAGGCTTTTAATCATATTTCAAGTCAGACGATAATTCAAGGTTCAAGGAACTATAGTGTCCGCAAATCGTGGCAAAAGCAATTCTCCAATTTGCATATTTGCGTAACGTTAGTGATCTTGAAAGCATAAAAACGATTGCAATATGTTGACACTAACAATAAAATGAAGAACTATACATTTGCGGGACAAAGAAAAGGCCTTATCCTTCACAACGGACGAGTCTCCATACAAGAACGCTAGCCCAATCAAGTGAATCTTTATTCCGGTGAATACGTATATTGGCTGCTCTTCAGTCTTCATCTTTCTTATATTATAAAGTTATACTGTATGTTTCTCCCTTTTTGCTGATCAGGACATTAGGAATACTTTATAAGCAATTCTCTAATGAGTAGGAATAATCTAATGGCTGTAATTAAACGACTAGAGACAAAGACAATGCACAAACTTCCAATGACCGCTTATTTTCAAATATTTCAGTAAATTCAATGTATGTTTGTACACAACTCTGTTGAACTAAACTCACTTCAAAGAAACTAACACCACACCATTAATACATACGTCTATCAGATATAAAGCTTGTCTCACCATGACATCGTAGATTGAAGCAGTCAATCCATAATCAGTGACTGCCCGGCCAAAACCCACAAGCTGGCCATTAGATGGCGTCACAGGTACCAGTCTCCAGAACCAGTCTCCCCCAACCGCTGTCAGATCCGAAGTCGGCGATGGCGAGTCGTCGGAGAATGCGGTAAAGGAAGAGTAGTAGGAGACGACCTCAGGGATGCAGAAGGCGGAGACGACGATGGAGCTGTGGAAGAGGCAATTCGGAGCTTTTCGGAGTCGACGGGCTCTACCCGACCCGCGGAGTCGAAGGTAGGGAAGCGGTGGCAGGAGTGGTTGCAGAGGGCGTAGAGGTCTATGAGGTGGTCGACGTTCACGTGGGCTGGTTGGAAGAAATGAATATTGGTGGCGGCAGCCACCTCTGTGACCTGGATTTGGCGATTATTCTCGCTGGTGGTCGCTGTATCCTGGAGGAAAGATAACCACCTTGAACGCCCCAGGCGACCGCCATTCTTATTTCTGTACCAACCCGGTCAGCATTATCCAGATGATTAATTTTCTTGACCCTACGAACGCTGGCTCTTGTGGGCCAGATTGTTATGCCAAGTGAATGCAGGTTGGGCCTGTCCTATGTGCCATCTTCATTCTTATTGGGCCTTGTTTCAGTTGTTCTCCCGCAAGCCCATCCCAAGCATGTATTTCAAAACATCAAGGTTACGTTGTCCCCAAATTTAGGCGCCTCTCTCTCTCTCTCTCTCTCTCTCTCTATATATATATATATATATATATATACCCACACACACATATAAAAACTCTTGTCACTCTTGCAATATGTGGGGAGGCCTCAACTTAGTATAAAACTTGGATTTAAAAAAGTTCAATTAGAAGTAAATTTTAAAGTAATTACACATATAATTTCAAAATAATACATAAGAGATTTTATTATTATTACTGTCATCTCGAAAATTAAACTCTTGTTATGGCAATAGTGGCGAATGGAAGTGAAACACCTTGATAAAATCTTGGATAAAAGATTGGGTCTTTCCTTCCCTCTCCTCCCAACCCAAATGATTCTTTTTTTTTTTTAGTGAAGAAAGATAATCAACCCTAAGTAATTTCTTCAAAAGAAA